CAAATAGTTTGGTGCAGTTGGGTTTTATAACACAAGGGGAATTTTATACAAATTGATCAAGAGATGAAGCAGACAGACTCTTATTTTAATAATTTTATTCTTCCCATTAAGCGAAGCATCTTATTGGTTTTTAGACTCTATTTACATTTATTCAAAGTGCCTGAATTATAAATAGTTTTGTTTACATTATTTGTTCCTCACTGTGTCATTAAAAAAGTGAACAACACAGAGCGAAAACAGAGTGAGCAGCTGCTACTGTCCCCCCCTTCTCTCTTCTCTTGCTGCTCTGAACAATAAACATTTAGAAATGGCTTACTGAGGTCAGCACATTGTCCAGACTCTCTGTCTATGTGTGCGTGTGTGTGTGCGCACACGCCCGTGTGTGTGTGTGTGTGTGTGTGTGTGTGTGCATTCATGTGGATGCCCATGTAATTTCCTGATTAAGCTTATAACAGAGCAAAAGCAAGATACGTGTGCACTTTTTACACATAATACCGCAGTAGGTCCATTTCTGTGAACTTATTTCTGATCAGAGTTGATTTGTTGAGGTCTGAATGTAAGATGGGACAGGGATATATGAACATGTGTGCGTGTGTTTCTGCTGATGATAGCAGCAGCAGCATCGGCGCAGACTTGACAAAGAGACGAGCAAACTCAGCAGGCTGATGTGAAGAGCCTGCCGTGTCCATATAGTCGACTCTGTGTCACGTGCACAGATATCAAAACCTCAGTAGAGCCTTCAGTAGACTCTGAAACCACCTGCTGTCAGCTGTCAAAGACCCACACTTAACAGTCCCACAAAAAGCCTGCATATTGAGTGCTAATTACAAAGAAGGAAGTAAACACCTACAAATTTCCTCTGATATTTCTTGAGTGAAAAGTTTTGCCTAGAACATATTTTTCCAAGCTGGGCTTTTTCCAAGCATGAAATCTGGATATTTTCGATTGGAAGTCATTTTATTCCACTCACCTGAATCTTAAAAAATAAAAACCTGTAACAGAAATTATCTCTGCAGTGAATCCTGACTTCCTCTAGGGTGCAACATTTCCATATAAACTCTGAGTTTAAAGGCCTTTTTAATATTAACTTAAAGAAGGGTCACAATATTAACAACCCATCACACTGCAGGTGCACAAACTGACTCAGGCTCTTCCTGGATCAGGAATCTTTTATACTCTAATCTCTCTGCTGGCATTTTTGCTGCTGTTGTTGTTATTGTGACTGCTCCTAAACTGCCGTTACGGTTGGTTTGGCATCGTTATCGTCACACACAGAGTCACTGCAGAGCTGTGATGGATAGTCATGTGTGACTGAGATCTCCAGTGAGTCATGCAGAGACTTTACATGAATCAGTAGAGAGTGAAAGGAAGACAGAAATAGGATTAAACCCACCCCAGAATGATTTCATTTTTGCCGTTCAAACATCTGAAAACATCTGTTGTTGTTGTTTTTAACAGTAAAGTTCTGAGAAATTACAGCACATTAGAGCCACATTTTATGTTAAAATGTAGTACGCTTAATCAATGTGAGGAGAATTATTTAGGTCTAATTGCAAGACATGCAGAGCTGGAATAAGTAGATGCATCATTTCTTAAATAAAACCATAAAAAGCATGCTATTAAAATATTCTTGCAAAAGTTTTTTACCTACATAACAGAACTAAAGTAGCAGAATCCCACAGTTGTGTTGAGATGAAAGCAGGCATTTATTATATACTGATATTTTCAGTTGTGAAAGAAATACTAAGTATCATCTTTGAATAGAAAGATCTATAGTTCCTCAGCATGTCATCATAAGGGGGGTCAGGGGGTTTCTTTTGCAGCTAATGTTAACTACTTTTACTACTTGTACTTCTACTACAACGTAGCTTGACATCACCAGTGTGTGAATGTGTGTGTGAATGGGTGGATGACTGGACGTGTAAAGCGCTTTGGGGTCCTTAGGGATTAGTAAAAGCGCTATACAAATACAGACCATTTACCATTTACCATTTTACTTTTCATCAAAACGCTTTGTTGTGAAGAGTGAACTATCTTCTTAACTGCTTTGCACAATGGAAACAGATCATGGTCCTTCAAGATGCCCTATCTTTCACACAGTGCAGCAGCTCATTCTGTGTTTTCTTCGTCCAGACTGATGGTTTTTCGTCTGCTGCTTCTTTTCCCTTCAAATTTTTCCAGATGTAATATCACATTCCAGTCCTCCTGCTCTCATAGTGTGTCCAAAGAATCTTGCTTCTCTTGCTTGTCTCTGATGTTCTTACATAGTGATCTTTTGGTGTTTGCTTTTTTAAAGACTTCTTCGTTAATCAGTTCAGGTCTATGATATTCACGTCTCTGCTGCACTGATAATCTCAATAGCTTTCTAGTTCATTGTCCATGCTTTGCTTCCATGTGTAGGCATCTTCGACTCTTTCTTGTGTTGAAGGAAATTTGTCAGTTAAATTAAATGTTTGCTAGCTTAGATTCACTTCAGTTTTATTTACAGGGAGTGCAGAATTATTAGGCAAATGAGTATTTTGTCCACATCATCCTCTTCATGCATGTTGTCTTACTCCAAGCTGTATAGGCTCGAAAGCCTACTATCAATTAAGCATATTAGGTGATGTGCATCTCTGTAATGAGAAGGGGTGTGGTCTAATGACATCAACACCCTATATCAGGTGTGCATAATTATTAGGCAACGTCCTTTCCTTTGGCAAAATGGGTCAAAAGAAGGACTTGACAGGCTCAGAAAAGTCAAAAATAGTGAGATATCTTGCAGAGGGATGCAGCAGTCTCAAAATTGCAAAGCTTCTGAAGCGTGATCATCGAACAATCAAGCGTTTCATTCAAAATAGTCAACAGGCTCGCAAGAAGCGTGTGGAAAAACCAAGGCGCAAAATAACTGCCCATGAACTGAGAAAAGTCAAGCGTGCAGCTGCCAAGATGCCACTTGCCACCAGTTTGGCCATATTTCAGAGCTGCAACATCACTGGAGTGCCCAAAAGCACAAGGTGTGCAATACTCAGAGACATGGCCAAGGTAAGAAAGGCTGAAAGACGACCACCACTGAACAAGACACACAAGCTGAAACGTCAAGACTGGGCCAAGAAATATCTCAAGACTGGTTTTTCTAAGGTTTTATGGACTGATGAAATGAGAGTGAGTCTTGATGGGCCAGATGGATGGGCCCGTGGCTGGATTGGTAAAGGGCAGAGAGCTCCAGTCCGACTCAGACGCCAGCAAGGTGGAGGTGGAGTACTGGTTTGGGCTGGTATCATCAAAGATGAGCTTGTGGGGCCTTTTCGGGTTGAGGATGGAGTCAAGCTCAACTCCCAGTCCTACTGCCAGTTTCTGGAAGACACCTTCTTCAAGCAGTGGTACAGGAAGAAGTCTGCATCCTTCAAGAAAAACATGATTTTCATGCAGGACAATGCTCCACCACACGCGTCCAAGTACTCCACAGCGTGGCTGGCAAGAAAGGGTATAAAAGAAGAAAAACTAATGACATGGCCTCCTTGTTCACCTGATCTGAACCCCATTGAGAACCTGTGGTCCATCATCAAATGTGAGATTTACAAGGAGGGAAAACAGTACACCTCTCTGAACAGTGTCTGGGAGGCTGTGGTTGCTGCTGCACGCAATGTTGATGGTGAACAGATCAAAACACTGACAGAATCCATGGATGGCAGGCTTTTGAGTGTCCTTGCAAAGAAAGGTGGCTATATTGGTCGCTGTTTTGTTTTTGTTTTGTTTTTGAATGTCAGAAATGTATATTTGTGAATGTGGAGATGTTATATTGGTTTCACTGGTAAAAATAAATAATTGAAATGGGTATATATTTGTTTTTTGTTAAGTTGCCTAATAATTATGCACAGTAATAGTCACCTGCACACACAGATATCCCCCTAAAATAGCTAAAACTAAAAACAAACTAAAAACTACTTCCAAAAACATTCAGCTTTGATATTAATGAGTTTTTTGGGTTCATTGAGAACATGGTTGTTGTTCAATAATAAAATTATTCCTCAAAAATACAACTTGCCTAATAATTCTGCACTCCCTGTATATAGCACCAAATCACAACAGTATTCACTTTAAGGTGTTCTATATATTAAGGTAAATACTCTACAATTATACAGAGAAAACCCCAACAATAAGATGAGAAAGCAAAAAAAGTAAGCAAGCACTTGGCAACAGTGTGAAGGAAAAACTCCGTTTTACCAGGATGCTATTGCAACCTGATCTTGATTTCATGCAACAATCTTTCATCACTACTCACAGCAGTACCCAAATACTTGAATTTGTTGATGTAGGCTGGGATTCTTTGATTTCTTTCCTTTTTAAAGAAAAGTCAATCAAACTCCATCTTTAAAACTGCATTATTGTACCTACATTTTAATCAGCCCAGTCCTTCCTGGCCACTTAAAATATATTTATAGAACTATATTTGTTGCAGTTTCTGCTGCCTTCTTGTCCTGATCACTCTTTAAAAAAGAGATTTTTAGCAGGATAAAAAAAATGATATATATGAAACCTACTTCGCCACAAAATGATTGCACCTTCTTCTTTGTAAGGGTAGTGTTGTTTGTGGGTCAAAATGACGCCATATCATTCATGAGAGATAAGTTTCACAGATTATATATTTGGCGGTTACTTCGGCTGTTGGTTTTAATTTATTTGGGAATCAAAAATCTGCATTGAAAAGTTAACAGCGAGCGTGTGTCTGCTGCAAATAAAGGTTAAAAAAGTGTGAGAGCATAATATGGAAAGGTTTGTTCTTAATTGGCGTACTTTAATTACAAGCGGCATGAAAGCAAAAAATAAAAACAATAATGCATTGGACTCCAGAAATTGATAAAAAAAAAAAATTTGTTATTTTTGGTGAATATTGAGGCAAATTAGTTACTCTGGCAATTAGCCATTTCCTGCAAAGCAGCAGTCAAACACAGGCCTGCTGTTCGGTTAATATCTCCCCTGCGCCATCAACAAATAATCACCTCACTAGCTGTAAATATCGGAGACGTTTTATATCAATCAGCTGTTTGTCGCGCTGATTGCCGCGCGCAAAACTCGGTTGTAGCGCAGACTGTGCGTAGAAGCACCAGCCGGTCTCTGCGCCACTGAGACGCTCTCTCTCCCCTCCTCCTCCACCTCGTCAACGGCAACAGCCATCTGCCGCCTCTTTTAATTTCAAACCCAGCAGATTTTCCCACAAACGTCCAGCTTCACTTGACAGAACACAAACTGCGTTTGACGCTGTGGAGGACAGCTCGCTCTCCGCACGTATTGCGCTGGAGCAGGAAGACAGCCGGGGCACATTTCGCACACGACACTCCGTCTGCAGAGACAGGCTGTGGGAAAGACGAAGCGGATTTGAATTAAGCACCGGATAACAGGCAGCAACTCTGCATCTTTCGGTGAGGGAGGGAGAGGAGGGAGGCAACTGTTTTGTAGCTATCTTGGAAGCCCTGGGTTAGGAGAGGGGGGAGGAGGAGCGGAGAATGAGCTATTCTTGCACCAGCAGAGGCAACAGCCAGGACCCATCAAGCGCTAAGAAGCCCGCCGGTAGTAATCCAGCCAGAGACGCCGGAGGCACCGACAGCGGCACAGACAGCACCAGTAACGGCAGCCCCAAGCAGACGGCGGCGATGAAAGTGAAGAAAGGCTGCAACTCGACCGACGTGGGGGTCCCGGTGACCACCGAGGAGCAACTGCTCGCCAGCACTGTGATCACTCCGGAGGATGTTCTTGGCTTGCAGAAGATCACAGAGAGTAAGTTCAGTGCTGTTGCTGCTGCTGCTTGTGTTGGTAGATGAGTGGGAAAAGGGGGACAAAGGTGCTCTTGTATGAGTCATGCATCACGTCATTATCGTGTCCCCTTATTTATGTAATCCATACAGGCCCTATTGAATAAGCGTTATTGATAAAGCGTCACTGGAGTTCCACTCTCCACTGAGCTGCTGGTGTACGTTTTTTGACAATTTGTGCGCAGAGGAGCATTCAGCTCTCTCTGATGGCATCTCAGTCCTGCGACCTGTGGAGGTGCAAGCCCACCACTGTAATGTGGAGGTTAAGCAGTGGAGGTGGGTGAATGATGTGGTGCATGCAGACAGCGTGCAAGTGAAGATGTTGAACCGGGATCAAAAGAAAGACTGGACGACCCACTCTGCATTTTAATCTCTGTTAAATTAAGCAGGGCGTCTTAGCTGGAGACGTTTGGGTGACCCAGGGGTCATCATTCAAAGCAGTCTGTGTGGTTCCTCTGCTTCAGTAAACATGTAAATAAAACAGGAGGCAAAGAAAAAATATCCCATGCCAGTGTACAAGTTGCAAAATGTGAATATGCTATAACAGACAAGCTTAAAAGAAGTATGAAAACTATATAAATACACTTGTTATAATAAGCTATCCCTATTGCTAGCACTGTAATGAGTGTGTGCAGGCAGTATTTTGCTGTTTAAGCTGAAGCCAGTTTATAAATGCAGGAAACATCATGATCGACTCTCTGTAGTCACATTCGCCTACTGTCTCTTTAGGTACTTTTAAACTCATGTGCTTGTTCCTTTTCATAACCTTCTGATGAGAAATCTGCTTATGACATTAGCCTATTACTTAATGCATCTGTTTTTTTTTAATTATGTCACACCTCTAAACATCCGAGAAGCAGGCAGGAAGCTCTTATGTTCACAAGAACTCCTACATTTATTATTAGTTAGCTAACAGGTGGCAGCGGGACATTTGACTATTTGAAGGCCAGTGTAATACCTCACTTACACAACATACTTGCATTACATACTGAGTGTGATAACATGCAAATGCTCTGTGGGATGTTTTCACTGCTATTTTGAAACTTGCATGGGGATTTTTAGGCTCACCTCTGCATGTTCAGTTCTTCTCTATTTCTCTGAAAGCTTTCATTTCACATGCACCCGTGAGATGCCACAAGCAATACAGTGAGCGCTTGTCATTCCACTTCTCTCAAAAATATTCCTACAGCGGAGGAACCTCCACCTGTCTTCATTCCCTGCTTTACTTTTCCTTATTTTCTTGTTTCGCATGAGATTAACAGAGGACGATAAAGCTGTAATGATGAATGGGTCTTTGCTTGTCCAATCCAATATAATCACAGCTTACTGAGCTTTGGGAACATCCTTTAGCTCATCTTGCTCACAGCCATCGAAAACTCTAGTAGTTTCTCTAATTGTCCATTATGCAGTCTATTATTAGACACACACTAGGGTAATTTCAGCTTTGTTTTGACTTCATCGAGAACACGTGTGCGCATCTTTGTGTTTTTAATCGGCAAGTCTGTGATCCCATAAGTGAGTGTGTGATGTGTTGCTGCACAGGGACACGTAGGCGAGCACCATAATGATTCTGACTCCCACGCCGGACCCCGTTATGGTCTTGGAAACTCACTTTCCTATCTCGCAGCGTCATAGCTGGAGGCAAGAGGAGGCATGTGTGAATCACCACAGCAACGTGGATACACGCTTGAGTCACTACAGCAACGTGAAGCATCTCCCCTTGGTTACAGCCAGTGGAGCGTGCATCATCTCTGTTCTCCCACACACTTCCTCCTTGCTCTCCTCGCCCCCTCTCCCATGTTAAACAGTGTAGGTGATGGATTGTACGGACAGAATTGGATATGCGTACACTCACGCTTGCTTGGCCTCGTTTTTGGTGGTCAAACCAAGCAGGAGACATCCTGTGCTCTCCTGAGATGTCAGAGCCACCGAGGCCCTTCTGTTGTTTTGTGACTTGTCACTATTTTTTTCTGCTGCTGCAGATTGTTAGTGGCTGAAATTGAGTCCCTCTCTAAGTGGCAAGCCAGATTTAACAACAGTCTTGAGTTAAAGAGGTTTTTGTTGTTCTTGTTGTTATTGAGTGGTTTGAACCTGTTTGGAGCTCTGACATCCCACGAGGGGAAACTTCAGTTTGTAGCTTTTTTTTTTGCAGCGTAAAGATGTCACTAATCGTTTTGCCCTCCATTCATAATCAAAGCAAGCTGCTGAGACTGATTGGGATTTGCATAGACAGAACGGGCTTTCTACCCAGTTGACTGATTTGATCCTGATTTTGTTCTTAACCGAGTCCTAAACTTAATCCGTCGAGTCAGCATGGAGCCTCAGAGCGGTAAGAAAGGCCCCCCTGCTGACATTGTGATTGTGTTTTGTGTCTCATGGGGAAGCAGCTAACTGCTATTTCTGTTGTTTTGTTTAGCTCTGAAAACAATTGAAAAAACACATCATTTTGCAGCAAACATACTGAAAAACTGCCCAGTATTCTCTTTCCCAGCTTCTTATATGAGAGGATTTGCTGCATTTCTTTGTATATCATTGGGAATCAAAATGCTGTATTTCTTAATTATTATTTTTGCAGTGTAAAAAAAAGGGAGAGAGAATATACATTCCTTAAATTGTCAGTTATTAAGTGATGAAACTTCTTATTGGAACTTAATAAGAAGTTAATAAAATGTTGCAGCCACCAACATACATTTCTGGTCTCTGTATTTCAACACTTTAATGTTAACATTTAGCCTCCTTCTTAGTTTTTTAGAGGGAGGCTTTTCATGAGAGGGTGACATGCTAAATTACTGTGCAATGCCAGCAATCAAGATCCAGAAAGTTACTGGGTGTAATGCACAAACAGACTTATTCAAATTAGAAATAAACTCACTGAAACTGAAGCACATGCATCTTAGATTGGCCACACTTCACACCAGGATATTGTAATGTAAAGATGTTTCTCTTAAAAGTGCAGCAACAGTTTTAACACACTTTATTTCATCTTGTTGGTACATGTTGGTGATACATGTAGATGTATCACCAATATGTAGTTGTTATGAATGGGGACAAATTGCTATAAATGTGAACACGTTATTGCTGTAGGTGGGGCAGTTTAACCTAGGTGTCTATGAGGACTGACTTGCTTTTAAGGCCTCAAGTGGCCATTGGAGAAACTGCAGTTTTTGGCACTTCTGTGACGACACTGCATACAAAAAAACAGTTTATCAAAGTAACCCAGAACCCAAAGTCACAAAGAAAGGCAGCGAGTTGTTATTACACAGAAGCAGCAACTGCATAATGTTACAGTTTATTAAATCTAGTACACACCCATGCCATGTCTGTGGTTGCCAGGCAACACAGATAGTGTCACACATAAAGAAAGTTAAATTAAAATTGTGCTTTTGTAATGTGTTATAGGTGCATTAATGCTACAAGTACAACCACATATTAACAGGCTAATGTTATTATGTGGTTGCTAGGCGATACAGTTATGTCAAATACGTCACGCGCATTAAAAGTTTTGTGTATATAAAGAAGTTGTTACTATTGTGAAATTAAAAAGACACTGGTGTTGAAGGTGCATAAACTTTGGTTGCTAGACAACCACCATATTTGATATAGATAAGAACCCTGAGAGGCCTGAGGTATATCTGCTGTATTTTTCCAACATAATTAAGTGTTTGTTGATACAATTATTGAAACTTCACACTAATTGTTTTGGCTGTTACAAAAGTATTAAACTTTGAGTTTTAAGTTTATGGACTGCTTCAGTTTGGTGAGTGCAAACAATGTAGTGGAAAAACTTCCTAAATAGCTGCAGAAATGTCTTCACTTATTTTAATTTCTTTTTGGTTATTAGATGACGTGGATGATACTAAACAACATAAACCAGTCATGCCGACTGGAGTGAGTATTTGCTTTGAGTTTAGCAGTGGCAGTGTGACCGTGCAGAGCATTAGTTCAGTGCGGATAAGCTTGTTTTAGCTGATTGGCATCAGCTGTTTCACATTTGGGCAGCTCAATAGCACAGGCATTAAAACACTGACACCATTGTTACTCCGATGATTATACTCCTGTAAACAGCGTCCGTTACCTCAGCTCTCCACACCCAACCTCCTCTATATTTATTGATATTTTACAGAGTGGATTTAATGCTCATACACATGTTATTAAAGGGGGTTAGCAAATGCTCAGGTGCTGCTTGGAGTCTTTGTGAACTTCCTCAAAGGCTTTTCTGCCCCCCAGTTTTTTTGATAACAACCACAAGAATATATTTTTAATGACTCTACAGGACTAGAATCATAACTCTAGTAAGAAAACAGTCTATTGTGCTGCTTCTAACGTTCTGTTTCCAGCTTCTCAGATGGGATGATTTTGCTGCTTGACTTTATCATATTATGGTAAATTGAGCATTTGATGATTTTGGTCTGATGGACAAACAAAATAAGAAGCTTGTTCTGATCAAACAGCTAATTAAGAAAGTGATCTGCATAGGAAAGATTGGGTGATTTGGACAGCTTATAGTGCATCATTGTGGTTAATAACTACTCATCTATTTCCTAATAAATCATAAAAAGAATTTAAACGCCTGTGGCTGGATTTCAAGTCTTTGTGCATGTTGGGGCTTATGTACACATGAGTTCTTTTTAAGGGTGGCATAGTGGGGTGGTGGTTAGCAACATATCCTCACAACAAGCAGGTCCTGGGTTTGATTCCAGTGACTGGCTTGGGTGACGTTTGCATGCTCGCTACGTTCTGCTGGGGCTTCAGCTTCCTACCCCAGTCCAAAGGCGTGCATGTTAGGTTATCTGGGGGTTCTAAATTGACCAATAATGCAAATGGTTATCTGTCTCTCTGTGTTAGCCTGCAATAGTTTGGCAACCTGCCCAGGGTGTATCCTGAGTCTTGCCCAGTGACAGCTGGGGATAGGCTCAAGCCCAACTATGACCTTGAACTGAATGAGTAGAAGAAAATGACATGGAT